TGGCTGAAGCTGCTTCTCACTGGTCTCTGCACCCAGTTGTAGGAGCTAAAGTGGTAGAGAACTAATAGAGAACTAACCCTACCAAAAAGGGGATGTTTTCCTGCCAGTCTAAATCCTTGACTTACCATCTTCACTATTAAAAGACAATGCTCATGCAAGCAAGGGATGAAAGAGTCCAGGACAAGAGATAAGGGATCTTCTTTTTATTCTAGTAGCTGTTAGTCATTAGATGGGTTTAGATGTATCAACAGCTGTTCCAGTGTCTTTGATAAGAGAGTCTTTTAGATAATTTTTTTTTTACTGTCTGTATGTGACTACTCTAATGATGGGGAACCTGAGAACAGAAAGAGCCTGTAACTTTATTTCATCTAGTCCAGGGCAATATGATTTCTTCCTCCTTGTTAATAACCAGTGTATGTGTTAATGCATGACTTTCATGTGCAACTTTCAGGAAAGAAAAGATTCAAAAGGCAAAGCAGATAGAATCATAGAATGTTAGAATCAATCGGATTGGAAAAGACCTTTGAGATCATCAAGGTCAACCCTTGATCCAACACCGCAGTGGTTACAAGACCATGGCACTAAGTGCCACATCCAGTCTCATCTTAAAAACCTCCAGGGACAAAGAATCCACCACCTCCCTGGGCAGCCCATTCTGATGTCTGATTACTCTCTCCGTAAAAAATTTCTTACTAATATCCAATCTAAACATCCCCTGGCAGAGCTTAAGATCATGCCCTCTTGCTCTACTGCTGGTTGCCTGGGAGAAGAGACTGATGCTTACCTGGCTACAACCTCCTTTCAGGTAGTTGTAGAGGGTGATGAGGTCTTCCCTGAGCCTCCTCTTCTCCAGGCTAAACAACCCCAGCTCCCTCAGTCACTTCTCACAGGACTTGTGCTCAAGTCCCTTCACCAGCCTTGTTGCTCTTCTCTAGACCTACTCCAGTGCCTCAATATCCTTCCTGAACTGAGGGGCCCAGAGCTGAACACAATACTCAAGGTGTGGCCTCACCAGCGCTGAGTACAGGGGAAGAATCACTTCCCTTGTCCTGCTGGCCACACCGTTCCTGAGCCAGGCCAGGATGCCATTGGCCTTCTTGGCCACCTGGGCACACTGCTGGCTTATGTTCAGCTTCCTGTCAATCCAAACTCCCAGGTCCCTTTCAACCTAGCTGCTCTCCAGCCACTCTGTGCCCAGCCTGTAGCGCTGCAGGGGGTTGTTGTGGCCAAAGTGCAGGACCTGGCACCTGGCCTTGTTGAACTTCATTCCATTGGAGTCAGCCCATCTCTCCAGCTTGTCCAGGTCCCTCTGAAGAGCCTGATGGGTGTCAGAATAGAACATCAAGGATTAAGTGTTGAGCCTATGAAATGATGATCTTAATGAACAATAGTATTCAGAAGACTTTTCTTGATTTAATGCTAGATTTGTATATAACACTGCAACTACACTAAATACCTTATATTCATATTTGTGAGTTGCAAAATAATAATCCTGAATACTAACCTCCCTTCTTGCCTGGAGCAATCTTCCCAAAGAAATACAGGGGTGAGTGCCATAACTTAGGGCCAGAGTGCTGTGCAAACATGATTGAAATTTTATTTACCTGATGGAAAGAAATTTAAAATTACCATGAAGTAACAAGGACAGTTTTACATAAAGTGAGGAATAATAATTACTTAGATTTACTTTTTCCAGAAACACGATAATGACCACTTGAGTTTTTGGCATACCAGTATCATACTGATTTCTGAGATAGCTATTGATGATTTTGCTACATGAAAAAAAGCTTTAAAAGTGGCAGGTTAATTACAGAATATATAATTAATCAGTGAGAAATGATTGTCCCTCTTTTCCTAGTCCTACTCTCATAATACAGTGTTATATCCTCTGGAATGTAATCTATACATGTGTTATGTACAATCATTAGGAAAATTTTGCACATAATGATCTCTGAGTCTCTTTCTTCAGTCCTTCACAGTGATTGCAGGAAGGACAATTTGCATTAACAGGGAATGCAGGACGAAATGTTTGCACTGGTTTTTAATAACCACTTCCTTTAGGATTCCACAAATGGCATTTGGTTCCTCAAACAATTTCTGCAAAACAAGCAGCATGCTTTGAAGTCTGTGCTAGGAGAAAAAGAAACAAAACCAAAATGTGAATCTCCCAAAGTACTTTCTTCCTTTTGCGGAATGGTTCAGTGACTTAATGAGGTTAATTTGTATTAAGTTGTGGGAAATAGTTTATCTGCTGTATAGAAGCTTTTATTTCACATGAATATGACAGATACTCTACTTACTGCACTGGAACTCAATGATTTAATAAGCATAAGGAGATGAAATCCCTACATTTCCTCTGAAGGAATATTCATTGCATGCTCTAGATGGTATAGAAACTTGAGAGTGGTTGGCCTAGATTCTTTAGTGTTTGAAGTATCTTTGTATACTTATCTAGGATGTTTTGGTTTTATACCCAGAAAATGTCAAAGTAGCTTTATTAAAGATTCCCCAAATACTATCAATAGTATATGGTTATTTTTGTTCTGTTCCATTTTTCATACAACTTTTCACCCTTTGAAATGCTTTTCTGTATTGTACATGAATGCAAGTGACTGCTTCATTTAATTACCCTCTTTTTCTGTAGAAGTATTGCAATGCCTGATTTTCTCCTCCTAATTACTACAAAGGAGGCTTTCAAAACTTTTGTTCCAGTATTAACATTTCTCTCACAGAATTTTACAACAGCTCTTTCAACTGGCTTCCACTCCCGTTGGCTATTGGCATACACTTCATTTTCTCTTAGAGGTTATATTATGGCATTTCTGTAGACCTGGTAGAGCAGTGTAAAGCTATACAATAAGAGAGTGAGGAGACAAAATTGCAGGATCAGTGATACAAAGAATACAAACAAAAGCTAATATAAGGAAAAATTGAGTGGTACGAAGTTCTCAGCCTGCCACTAAATTTACTTCCTTTTTGTAGATTCAGTGTCTGGGTTTTTTTATGTACCTTTCATAAAATACAAAGTAGTGAATTTGTGTTAGAATGAGTGGGTGTAAGATGTGTAATTGCCTATCAAAATAAAAACTAGTGTGAATCCACAAAAGCAGCATGTGTTTGTTCTGCTATATATTATATATTCCCAATATATCCTAGAATAATTTTTCCTATATTCACAGGTAAAAAACCTTCTAAGGGTTTTACTGAGAAAAAAAGTAATTTATTTAAATTGCTTTATTGGCATACATACCAGTAGAATTGTTTGGAAAATAATTAAAAGTAATTTTTGCAGCAGCCTGTGCTAGTAGCTGTAAAAATATTTGCTCATCATCAATGGTATGAAAATATCAGAGACTGAAAATTTCAGACAGACAGAATGTTTTCTTTATCCTCTGTTGAATTAAAAATTATAATTAGAAAGTGAAGAAAAGCAGTTTTTGTGCATAAAAATATTTTCTTTCCTGCTAGATTTCTGATGTAAATGTAACATTTTAGCATATCAAAATATGATAGATCATGGGTTAATTGTTTGCACTGTGTTATACCTTTTCAGATGTAGCACAGCATGATGTGGTGGAGTAAAATCAAACCTGACACAGTACAATGCACTGAGCAACAACAAAGACCACAGACAGTTCATTGGAATTTGTTATACTGAAAAATGCATAATTCCCTGAATGAGATGTTTAGCAGTTTATGTTTTGTTGACGAAGACACAGAGTCTAATTGCTATCTGTGGCTTTTGCCTCTAGGAACATTCTTGGGGTCCATAGCCTACATCAAGTTTGTTTTCCTTTTTCAGGCCTTTTAGGAGCTGATACTGTGAAATAACAACTGAGTGAATCCAGGGATCAATGTTGGGCTCCTGAAAGGCTGTTAGTGGGATTTTCTCCTCGTGGAAGCTCTCACTTATTGTTTGACACTAGGGATATAAAAAGTAGCTGAAGCATTCAGTACATATGCTTTGCATAGAGCATGCAAAAAGTTAAACAGAAGTAGAAACAGAGGATTTAGAGGTATTGTTAAAACACATATTGCTTTAAATAGTTTGTATTCCTCCCCATACGACATTGTAGGTCATTACCAGCTAAAAGTTCAGATTTCTTTATCTCTTTCTTCGGATGGGAATTAACTATCCCCACAAATATCTGTGTCTGTGTCAGTAACCACTGAAAGTTCAGATAAAATTGCTTTGGTAACTGGTTGTTGAATCAGAAAGGGTAGTTTGGCAGTTCTCCTCTCACCAAATTGGTCCTCTCATAGGACTGCAGTATCATGATTCTGGTGATCAGTTGGAGCAGCTTGAATGGGAGTGATAGGTACATATATCAAAGAAAGAAAATTTTCATGTTGACTCCCTTGTTTGGAAAATTTGGTTCCCCATGTTCCCAGACTTACTTTGCAGTGCCAGGTAGAAAGATTTAAAATGTGATTCCTTAGCAGATATTATTTCTAGGTTTTGTTTTAGGACTGTCCCTGTATACTGCCAGTTGTTCCCTGTGCACTTGTAGGAAGGTTTTGGAATACCATATCAAAGACTGTATCTGTTCTGGACATAAAGCCTGGATTCATAGATTCTGAAAACATATGCATGTATGGATATTTTAGCACTGATATGCTGTCATGTCAAAGTTTCTCCCTTAGGGAAAAAGAAAAAGGTATTGGTAGGGATACACAGCTGTTTAGAGGAGTCCAGAAATTAATATAGTTTCTAGGTTAGTTTTGTGTTTCTGCTTCCCAATTCACTGGAGCAGTCCCATATGCAGCCTTGTCCAACTGTTCATCTTTAGCTAGTGTTTTCTGCCTGAGATAGCGATACCACTTTTACAAAAGAAATCAACTTTACGTTCTACTGCTAGTATCATTGTAATTCTTGTTTCATGTATGGCAGATTGCCTTACAGAACCAAATTTATTGCATTTCTTATTAAAAAATCCAAACCAAACAGTATGATGCTACCTTGCAAAGTTATCAAATTGCTCATCTTCTTATTTTCACAGCTCATCATGTTAAAACTGGGACCTGTGAAGTGGTGGCACTTCACAGATGTTGCAATAAGAACAAGATAGAAGAAAGATCACAGACGGTGAAGTGCTCCTGCTTCCCCGGGCAGGTAGCAGGTACCACCCGGGCAGCTCCTTCTTGTGTCGATGGTGCGACTACTTCTATTGCTCCCTTTCTTTGTGTTCCTAGAAGTTTTTGCTGGTTTAACATCATCAATGAGATCAACTTCATTCCAGTTACCTATTTAAAATAAGAGTAGGACAGCTTCTGCATTTTGAAGGTGATCTCCAAGGTGAACAGGAGGAAGATGAGAAGAATTAATTATTTGCTATTCCCCTGCGGAAATGCTAAACAAAATTATTAGATGACAGTGAAAGAGACCATTTGAGGGGCTAAATTTGATCTAACTAAGAGAGGACCCTTGAAGTAGTATAAAATTTACTTAATTGAAAGTATTTATGAAAAATTGACATGAGCATATAATTTTCATATACAGTCTTACATCTGATTTATATATTTATCATACAGGAAAAAAAAACAAAGCAAAGAAACAGAACACAGTTCTGTCCATTTTTTAGTCTTTTTAGACCAACAATGTTATTCCTATTCACAGTGCAATATTAGTGTCTTACTTAACAATTGTGGTATAAGTTCATATGTTTTATTTGGGAAAATATTAGCTGATTTTTCACATTGCTCTCTCTGAAAGAGTAGCAGGACTCACCCTTTAATGATCTTTTTACTGTTGATATGTTGTTGGCTGTCAGAGAAGCTGCAAATATGTCATCATTGGGGAATAAAGTTAATCAGACTATGCTAGACTGCATAGTAGACCAGGCAAAAGAAGAGATTCTACTTATCACTTTGAAATCTAGCTGAACAAGAATAAATGAGGTTGGAATGAAATGTTATGAAGAGGTTGACTTTGAAGTACGTAGCACCTTTTGCAAATTTCTTATTAAGGTTGGAAGGTGGCTGAAAAATCACAGACTAGCTGTCAGTGAACGTATTTCTAATATTTTCCTGGAAAATAAATGTTGCAACATAATGACATAATAAAGTGTCCACTTCAACAACACACAAATATGTTTGTTTTCCTTTCTTTTAGCTTCAATCGTGGAGCAGAAATGGTGGTGCCACATGCAACCATGTCTTGAAGGGGAGGAATGTAAAGTTCTTCCAGATCGTAAGGGGTGGAGCTGTTCCTCTGGGAATAAAGTGAAAACAACTAGGGTAGGTATGATACCAACCTGACATGTTACCAACAAGTATAAAAAAAAATAGTGCACAGAAAATTGGGTGCCCATTGAAGACCTGAGTTGAGAAGACTGAAGAAGCATGGGAAGAAAGTCATACTGGGATTGGACTTCCTGGTCCTGCACACTACTCTCAGCATACTTTTCAATTACCTGAACATAGTAAGCAGTGTGCCAGACCTTCTCAGGTAAGCACTGGGGATAGTAGAGTTGATTACTTGAACTAAAAGTAATCATCAAATATATTGTAATTTAATATGCATTTCTTTCTGAAACTTGCTCAAAGTCTGCACACCTTGCTAAGCTCTTTATTTACAGGATAGCAAACAAGTGCATTTTTATCAATAACATTGGATTACCATGTTTCTACATAAAAACTGCTGAGTATGGTAAGCATTTGATGTGTCATTACAGTATGATCTTTTGGTTCTTTCCATCTTGTATGACTGGGATTTACCAAAAAATTTTGACAGAGTTTCAGTGAGTTCTTTTTCTCCATTTGACACTGCTTATATTATTGCTTCAAAATTACATTGACAGAAATACATCTAACATTCATCATATATAATGCCTGACAACAAAGCATACATGCTGTCATCTCTGCTTTTTAGTGGCTAAGAGAAATAGAAGAAAACCAAATTTTTCAGATAAGCAGTAAACACGCAAACTTCCTAAATCTACAGCATTGTATCTCAGTAGGGTCTTCATCAACATAGGAACGACTGAATTGCTTCTTGAAGGCACATGTGGATGTGTTTAAGTATAAACACCTTCACATCTACATACCACCACACACACTCATGATTGTTTTTTCTTTTAAGCGTTTAGTAATTCTTTGTAGTGTCAGGCCATAATTTGCAAGCATGGTGTTTACTGTGCGCAAGTTTTTGAGTGTTTGTGTCATTTCATTGAAATCTTCCTTTCATAAACACTAAATTTCTGGTATACATTAGCTATAGTGATATGTAGTGTGCACTGACTGAATTATATTCCTTCTGTTCCACAAGAACTCCATATGTCTCAGTTTCTGTATATACAAGTCTCTCAAACATTTTGACATTCTTTGAAGGAAGGATGCTTTCTAAATGTTTGTTATACAATTCCATTTCTGAATCCACTTTCAAATATGTTTCTTCTGAAGATAACCTTGCTGGAATGCTGCCCACACTTACTTTGTACATGCCAATGCAAAACTGATTATATACATGTAAAATGTATCTGCATGTATAATATAACCAAAAGGAACTAGATAGAATTTAATAATAGTAATAGAAATAGAAAAAGAATTGTATGTGTTTTGGAATTTGTGCAAACACTAACCACTATTAGTGTTACAGAATGCATGCCATTTATATTTATTGAGAGTGTTTAACAAGAGGTAAGTAAACATGTGGGTCTGAATTACATTTCTGCAGGAAAAAAAGAGGTTACAAAAGGAGCAAAGGTCAATTAGAATTGCCTTGATGAGATTTCTTCTCAACAGTTTGTCAGAGTATGGGGTTTTCTGCATTTGTTGAGGTTGAGAAATTTTGTCCACTGTTAGGAATCTAAAGAAGACCAAGGCTGTTGTCCTCAAACTGTTATGCTTCTGTTGCAGGCTTGTAGGTCTAGTTCTTTGCAGTAGTTGGAATTTTGTTGTCCTCCATGGTGGGGGCAATCCTCAGGATTCATTTCATACCTCTTCAAAATCGATGCTTTGAAAAAGCCAGTCCTTTTTTATATTTGCCATCATAAACACTGATTCAGTGTAATGGCTACCATAACCTGCTTACAGACCTAGCACCACTAAAATATCACCTTAAACACCCAATTATTTGTTCTGTCTTTTGATTTGTCCAGATATGGTATGTTGTCCCCCTTCTTCCCTCATTTTCCACGCAGCTGCCAGACTGTTTTGAGACAGTAGATCAAACAGCAAATAAACTCAAATTTCTGATTTGAAGTTGGTCTAAGTCACTGAAACCAGGGTGTCAAGTCTCTGTCTTTCCAGATGCAGGGAGCATGATTTTAGCAGACATCTTTCTGATAGGTAGAAAAATATACATTGTTAATGGAAATGTGAATAGTTCTTTATGCTAAGAGAGTAGCTTATTATCAAAAGGCAAGCAACTTTCCCTAATACGTAGTGACTACAATATTTTTGTATCTCCTCTTTCTGCTCCCTGAAGTCTATATAAAGATTCCAAAGTGTTCTGTGGTTTTAAAATCTCCTTTTTTTTTTTTTCTCCTAATTTTTTTCTTTTTTTGAGAAAAATAAAAATAACTCTATAGTCAGTCAATATTAAGAAATCATCAATAATAAAGACACAAAATGAAATAAACCATATGTGATTGTAAAGAAACAAAGAGAACTGAGCAGCTAGGGTGATTTAAGTGGATTATGGAAAAGTCTTATGAAGACTTTCCTGAAAGGCCAGAGAAAAGTCTATATGCACCTCCAAACATTTTCTAAGCTAGCCTCCTTCATATGCGAAAAACCTAACCCAATTGACTGCTGAAGTACTAGCTATTCTTTTATGGTATACCAACTTCAAAAACATTACTTGTATTTCCGCATCTTGAGTTGTTAATAGTTAAATTTTATGTTAGAGATAAAACTAGTGGAGGAAGAAAGTTATTTTACTTGTCCACCTTTCTTAGCATATTTAATCATACTATTTTAAAAACTGATGATACCAACTTCCTAATACTTACGGTATTAGGCAAAAAGGCCAAATGAATAATCGGAGAAAACAAAGTGATTTTTAAAAATGTGGTCAACTTGAGGTTTTACATTTTGTTCAGCTATAGGGATCTAATAAGGTCATACAATGAAAAATGAATTAGAAATACCCAAATTCAGATGTTAAGAAAACTCATTTGTAAATTTTCTTCAGAATGCAAAAATAGGTATTTTCCTAATTTGTTTGCATATTAGTGGGAAAAGGCTGATTTTAAGAGTTAACCATAGGAAAGAACCAAATACAGGGAGAAAGTTTATGAATAAGCTGGGTACAGAGTTAACTTGTGCTGGTTTAGAGTTGACTACATTGGTCTATGTAGCCTGCAGAAAGGGAAGGGAAAAAAACCAATAACAACTTAACTAAATCAGAAATTTTTTTGAGTTCATGTTAAAAAATGTATGTTTGTGTTGCTGAGCATTATACCATAACAAAACAGAATACTCAGAAGCACATTAGAAGAGTTACGAAATAATTACTAGCATAGCTGAGATTTCACCAGGCACATTTAGGCATTCTCCTCCAGACTGGATTGAGAAACTGTTGTTAGAGGAAAAAATTGAATTTTTTTTATATGGTTAGCCCTAATTTTTGGTAAATAAACACAAATTTTTTGTCACATTTCCCTCTTTAAATGATGAGAAAAGTGTTTCAAGAAAGGGGAAAATCCAATTTTTTTTTTTTTTTTACATTCTTCTTACAGTGTCTTTCTAATGTAATTATTTTAATTCAAAAAGCTCTCCTGGTTGTTTCCTTTCTTTTCTTGCAATATAGTAAAATTTCTGCTTAAAACAAAGAAATTTTCCCATCAGTTGAAAACTACAAAATACAGCAGTCTGATGTGTAAAAGTGACAATGACATTTAAAAAATGCTATGAGTTTGTGTTAAACAAAGGAGCCCTTTACAAAGACAGGATATTTTGCAGTCAGGTAAGTGCTGAGGAGAAAGAATTTAATATTTCTCTTAGTTCTGGGGCGTATTCCACACCAGAGGTGTCTCTGTGGATAAGGGTTTTCCAAGGGTTAATCCAGATGCCAGGGTTTACTTGTATTTTTAAGAACAGTACATTGCCCATTATTTTTATAATAGACTTTACAGAAGAGCACTAGAAGCTGCATGTAAACTGCATGAAAGTGAACATTGCAATGCCTCCTGTGGTCTCAGTTCTCCAGGCATCTACCCTGGGACTATCTTGGACCATGTCATGGTCCTGGGCAGCCCATAAATCTGTGTGTCTTTCTTGCAGAAACTAGATCACAAGCACAAGGTAAAATGACTAAAGAAGTATGTGCTTGCTCCTGGCAGTGGGAAAGTGTCTCTGGGCAGATATTTTATGAAGATGTAGAGAAATACACATTTGTATTTTTCATGAGAAAAAGTATAGTGTAGAATAGACTATTTCAGTTGAATGGAACCTACAGCGACCATCTTATCCAACTACCTGACCAATTCAGGGCTAAGAAAATTAAAACACATCGATAGGGGCGTTGCCCAAATGCCTCTTAAACAACTGACAAGCTTAGGGTATTGACCACCTCTCTAGAAATCCTGTTCTATTGTTTGACAATCCTTTCATTAAAGAGAAGCTTCTTCATGTTCAGTCTAAACCTTCCCTGTGGCAGCTTTGAACCACTGTGCAGTAATAAATAGTACCTTGTCCTCAAGCTTTTAGCTTGATTTGGTAGAATTATCTGTGGAACGAGGCACAGTTTTAACACTAAGCACTAAGTTCTGGTTAAAATATATGGAATAGAATTTACTGGACTTTGCTTGGGTTAGGACTCTAGAGTGAGAAAACTAGCCCAGGGTCTAGACTGCCTTTTTAGTATTGAGCATTGTTCAATTCCAGAAAACAATTCATTTTGTTCTAAGATAAGTCAAATGAATTACCTTCTGGAGGTTAGAGGAAAGCTACGATGACTAGATTAGCCCATAACATTTAGATACTTAATGCTGAATAGGAAGCAGCTGGCTTAAAGAATTTACTCTCTTTGATGGTCCTCATTAGGAAGATGATCATAAAAATCTTGTCATTCTTTGTCAGTTTGGGAAGCTTTGGACTTTGACTACTATTAAATGCAATAAATATTTCAAATTTTCAAAGATCTTCATATTCTGAAGATACACAGCTGTGAGCTAAACTGGTGAATCATACTATGATGAGCAACATGTCCAGTATACAATATTCAGTAAAAGTTGGCAACATTGCATGTTCTTTTAGCATTGACTTGTTGGTATAATCCAAACGCTAACACT